AAAATAACAGGATAAAGCTGTAAGACTAGGTGACACCCAGGGACATGTGATCATCAGATTTGGTGCAACAGGGTCACAAGGAGAGTTATGTCCCCTCTTTGTTGTTGTTTGAATGAGAACAGAGCAATCCCATGGTAATTGGGGCAGTTGCCTAGTGAGAATATTAATCAGGATTCGTGAAAGCATGAGGATCTTCCTGAAAAGAAAATGGGAACCATGTGTACATATGTACATAAGAATAGTTATTTGAAAGAAAGTAAAAGAATATGCCCGTAGATCCCTAAACAAACAAACAAAAAAGAATCAATGAATGACCAGACCCCCTGAATAAACAAGTTCTTAGAACACTGATGCCATTTAAACAAGTTAACCAACTCAGTTAACTACTATCAGACTCCTAAGAGTGATTTTAAGAACAGACACACAATGCATATATCTTAAAATATATGTAATTCAAAAGGGTCAGTTTGAAGCCTTCTGTTTCTGTCTTCAGACCCCTTAAAACACCCCTGAAATCTAAAGGTATCATGCAGCTGAGAGGAGAATTGGGGCCAAACTAGATATGTAAGGGCAGCCCTGCCTGTGCAAGTTGTATCTAAAATGTGGTGAGGAGTCTACCGGGATAAGCAAGTGATGGGAAGTGAATCCTGCCCTATCTTACATACCCAAGTACAACAGGCATCACCCAGTCACTCTCTGATCCAGAAGTAAGCCAGGCAGAGAATAAAGAGAGCCAGTTTGGTGTAGTGGTTAAGTGTGCGGACTCTGGGAGAACCGGGTTTGATTTCCCACTCCTCCACACATAGCTGCTGGATGACCTTGGGCAAGCTATAGTTCTGTCAGAGGTGTTCTTGAAAGAGCAGTTTCTCTCAGATCTCTCAGCCCCACCTACCTCACAGGGTGTTTGTTGTGGGGAGGGGAAGGGAAAGGAGTTTGTAAGCCACTCTGAGACTCCGAGTGAATGGCGGGGTATAAATCCAATTTCTTCTTCTAAAGACCTCAAAGGTGGGGGAGACAATGGAATCCCTCACCTCTAGGGCTCCCTTTTTAATAAAAGAATCTGCAGCTCCTATGATAGATGAGCAGAGGATACGTGATGGGGCCCATGCTTATTCCCATCTACTCTTAAAGGTGCTACTTCATACTCCTGGATGTACTTACTAGGAAGTAAGCCCATTGGAGGTAGTGGGACTTACAGCTGTTTGCAAGACATTGTTTTTCAAAGCAAAAAACCCACACATTTTAAAAAGTGAGCCTATTTTTATTAATATTTCATTTATTTTTGTCAGCGTTGTATTCCTATTAAGTGCTCATGTTGCCTTCCAAAAATTAGTACTTCATAACTGAATAAATACTTTTACCCTCAAAACAAAAACACACACCCTATGCACTACGTTTTGTTAACTTGAAAGGTTACTTTCCTCTAAATTTCAAGACAGATGTTTGATTTAATATTGGCACTGTACCTTATATGGAACCACAAGATTTGAACAAGCAGTTAAATAAAAATGACAAATACTGTGAAAGAGCAGACATTTAAAGTATTGCAAGTGTTAAAATATGACCAATATTGTTTTCTTAAATGAGTAATTATATACTGAGGCAAGAGTATTAATGTGTTTTATACATTCGTTTCTAAACAATCCTGTGATGCTTACTTGGTGGTAAAGACCTGTTAAAGTAAAAAGTACTTTTTAGTAAACAAACATATGATCAGGCAGCAAGTATTTGTTCAAACTGCTTTCAGGAAGATACGCTTGGTATAAGAAGCAATCATGAAAGTTTTCTTGCCTAATCCATTTAGCTGTGCCTTTTAAAATCTCGGCTTACATATGTTTACTTGGAAGTAACTACTGCTTTATGGGCCTCCTTGCCAAGCATGGAAGCACAAAATTGTTTTCACAGCAAAGATACCTTTTGAACAAGAGAAATCAATACCATGCCAGGGCAAATGTGACACAGGACAGCAGAGTCCAAACTTCCACTTTGGAAAGATGAACTCCGCTTGCCTCAAAAACTACTGTTTATATTAACTCCCATATTTTAGAAGAATTCTTTTTAAAGAGGGAAACGCACTTTCCCCCATATTTCTTCTCCGTGAAGATTGCGGAGAGAAGATAGGCAGAGTTATTTCTAGCCCTCCTGCCACAGCCGCGCTCTTATTCAGCTCCGCAAAGAAAAACGCGCGGGAGGGGGGAGGGAGGGGGGGAGAGGAGGGAGGCTACAAATACTGCGGACAATGACATTTACAGGATCAGGTAACCGACGTCCTTGGCGGCGGCATCAGGACGCAGGCGCTCAAGGGAGGCAGTAAACACGAAACCATCGGCACGGCAGACGGTCCCTTTTGCAGTCGACCCTGCGGGGCTAGCGGCTTAGGCGACAGTAGCTGCTCAAACGGCGCGGGGGGGGGGCGAGGGGGAGAGGACGGAGCCTGACTGGAAGCAGCTCCACGGCTGTGCTCCCCCCCCCCCCCCCGTCAGAAAGCCGAGCCACCGGCCGGGCTCGTGCCTCCTGAGCGCTGTGGGTTCGTGGCGTTCAAGGGAGCCGCCGCCTGCCCCTTCTAGTTCGGCGGCCGGACTGCCGGAAGGATGACTCTAGTGACAGAGGAAAGCGCGCCAACCCCCCTCTTTCCAGAGCTTGCCGGCCCCCTCCGGCTGCGAGCCCATCGTCGTTCAATCGGGAGGGAAAGTTCTGCCCAGGCTTGCAGACAAGACCGCGAGAAGTTCAGGGAAGAGGCGGCTAGAGAGACGGGGCCAAGCGTGTCTAAAAGCTTCCCGCGCGAGCGAGCTGGGGGAGGAAGAGGGGGTTCTGGTCGCCCGCGGCTGCTTGCATGGCCGTTAACCTACCGAGGGCCAGCGAGTGTTCAAAACGCGTCAGCCTTCGCGAGCCGAGCGGTGGGGTCGGTCTCGTGTGTTGCTGGAAAGGGAAATGGCGCTGCTTTTGTGTCGGAAACGGCAGCCGCGGAGAACACCCCCCCTCCCCTCAAATCAGTGTAAGATACACACCTCACAACATGATCTCGCGGAGAACAAGCGGAGCACCCCGGAATCTGGTTAACAGGCCAGCGTGTCGGCTATTCTGCCTCCCCCCGCCCCTTCTCTCCCCAAGTGCTATCTCGACTTCCTCCACCGCCAGCAGCCACTTCCATTAGGAACGCCGCTTTCCTTGGCGGCCCTCGCGGCCACTTTAAACGGGCAGAGAAGAAATTGCTCCTCGTGAGGCGACCCCCTCCTTGCGCCGCCCGCGCAGGCGCACCACGTTCATCTCAGCCCCGCCCCATTCCTTACACCTTAAGAGAGGAGGGGCTGCGGCCGCCGCGACACAATTGAAAGCGCGAGCCCGCCTGCATATAAATAAATATATATATATATCCTGTGAGAGAAAATACTGCACGCATGCGTAATAGTAGTAACACGCCACGATCGGGACTTCCCCCCCGTTAGCAGCCACGTGACCGAGCACCACCCCAACGTTAGATCGGTGAAGTAACAAGAGTTTCCCCCCCCCTTCCCCCCGAGGAGTTTCTCGTGCTCTCATTAAAAACCGAGGGGAGGGGAACACACACACAGGGAGAGTGTACTCGCCTGCAAAAACCATCTGGAGCGTGAAAGTGTAGTAGGCAGCGGCGCGACCTTTTCTATGTGTGCGCGCGCCAGTTAGTTATACCGAGGCACAGACACCGGGGGGGGGGGGGGGGGCCGCAAAGGGCAGCCCGGGACCTCGTGGGTAGTCATCCGAGTAGTCCCAAGTCTCTCAAGCGAGCGGCAGGGGCGGGGCGGGCTGAATCCGCCAAGTGGCGCCGCTGCTGCCGCTGCTCTCTGATTAACGGCCGCCCCGCCCCTGCTCCTTGGCTGCTCCCTCCCCGGCCCCTATCCCCTCCCCTTCCCGCCGCCGTTGCCTCCCGCCGCCGCCAGCACAGCCTGAACTGAAGCGAATTGAGGAGGAGGAGGAAGACGGGAGACGACGACGAAGACGACGAAGAAGGAGGCACGGCGGCTACAGCCCGGTTGAGACTCGCCAGCCACAAAGAAACGGCACCAGCGGGAGAGGAAGGAGGCAGGCGGAGTGGGAGGCGAGGCGGCGGCGGCGACAGCAGCAGCAGAAGCACCTCCGGTGGCCGGGAACAGCCTTACAAGCAGCGGCGGCGGCGGCGGCGGGGACTCCTCGGGAAACAGTAGCCCGCCCGCCCCCATTTGCCTGCCTGCCTGCCTGCCTCCCTCCCCCGCCGCGGAGCCAGACCAGGGGGGCAGCCGCGCCGAGGAGCAGGAGCCGCGACCAGCGTCTGCGTGTGCTGGGGGGGAAGGCGAGCCGGAGAGGAAGAGGAGGGGGAACATACCGACGACTGCGCCGGCCGCTGGCGCACGGCGCTGGGGAAAGGCTTCCAGTGGGAGCGGCTACAGGAAGAGAGAGGAACGGCGGGGGAAGATCTCTGTGCAGAGGAGCCGGAGGAAGACTAGGGCGCAGCAGCCCTCGGCCGTGTCGGCAGCGGAGTAGGGGTTGGGGGGGTGGCGGTCGCCGAGTTTCCCCCCGTGTTTTTCTCCTCCGCCTGGGACCCGGGGGCATCTTCTGGCGGCTTCTTCGTCGACGGTCACGGAACCCCCTTTTTCCCGCTCCCTCTTCCTCCTCCCCAGATTTTAGGGGGGGAAGGGGCCTTCCCCCCGCCCCACGCACACACCCCGTCTCTTCCCCGCCTGGCGGGCGCCCAGTGCGGTGGTTGGGTGAGTGCTGGTGCGGGCGCTCGCTCGCTCTCGCCGTGCGTTTGGAATATGGTTGGGGAAATGGAAACGAAGGAGAAGCCCAAGCCGAGCCCCGATTACCTGATGCAGCTGATGAACGACAAGAAGCTCATGAGCAGCCTCCCCAACTTCTGTGGGATATTCAACCACCTTGAGAGGCTGCTGGACGAAGGTAAAAACGGGGTTGGGGACAGGCAAACAGAGCGAGAGAGAGAGTCCAAAAGCAACTCTTATCCTAGTGGCTGAGAAGAGGGTGGGGATCAGACTGCCCCCCTCCCCCCCAACTTAGGCCCTTGTACTCTTATATGGATCCCCTTTGCTCTTCCTATTTCTGTCCCGGAGATGAGGGCGGATTCCCCCTTTCGGCCCTTCAATGGCGCCTCTTGGCCTTGCATCCCGCCCCATAAACAAAAGACGCGAAGCGGGAAGTCTTTCCACCGAAGTTTCCACCTTTCAGGGTTAAGAGCTTTGGAGTCAATGAAATCTCTTTGTGTGGCGGTGTTCTCTCATTATTTTGCTCCTCAGGGGAAACGCGGACGCCACATTGAGAGAGTCAGGGAGACGAGAAGTAAAAAGCCCGAGAGGTTATTTGGAGGTGGGGGGTGGGGGGTGGGCGGCGGTGGCGGCATAAGGGGCATTCAGAGACTCCTGAACCCACGTTATGAAGTGCGAGAGGGTAGAGGGTTGGGTGGTGGGACTTACAGAGGTATTTATAGGCAAGTTAGTTTTGTAGCCTGAAGAAATGAGGAACGGGTGGTTTGATTGAGATTTTGCTGTCGCTGGGAAGTAGTTGAAACGTACTGACAAGACCAGAAGGCTTAGTTGTCTTCAGGACATTTCCCGGTCACAAAGAAGGAGTGAACCATTTCAACTTTATGTGTAAACAGAGTAAACGTTACTGGCTTGTATCCTAAAGGATCTGCACTGGAACACCAAACTAAAAGACTAAAAAGTGCTTGAATACTAACTTCAGATTCCAGCTCATACACTGTGGGGTATATTTCTCTTTCACCATCTCCCCGATCATGTTTGCAAAGAGTTATCAGAGTATATAAAGTCTTGGTCACATTTTTGGTATAACTCTTTAAAGTCTGCAAATTTGAAACAATTCATTCGGAATTTGTTCTGTAGGTTTAGATGGTTTGAGGATTGCAGCCAGAGACTTCACAAAAGTGTTTTCTAGCATATTTTCTTAACGATATATTGTATTGTGTTTTCTTGGATTCTTTATTTTCAGTCAAAAACCTATCCTTTGAATTTATATCTGGAAATGAAAGGAATGTGGAACTTGATGGCTGGTAGTCTTATGCTTGGATATGAAATGTGTTGACCTGCAGTTTCAATTTTGGGTTGGGGTCCTTTGAAGACAGGAGGGCCTGGCAGGAGATGATCCAGGGGGTCGCAAACTCGACTGCGACTGAACAACAACAACTTTGATTTACTTAGTATATGCAGAATTCTTCCTGCTTTTGACAAGTATTTCTCTACATTAGGAATGGAAATGGTATATTTAACATCTAGTTGAAGCAATTGGCTGCAGAGAGCAAATCAGACTGGAATTATATTCCTGAATAATCACTGTTTTGATAGCTATGTTAAAAAATAAACAGGCACTGCAAGGACGCTATTTTGAAAGTAGTTTCCGTTCATAAACTTTTTATGGAGACAATCTGTAGTAAGAAGTTAAGAGATGAAGTCAACAACAGGGTCTAAAGAAATGGAATTGAATAGTATTGCAACAATGGTTTTTTAAAAGTTTATATTTTGACAAAATCTGTTTTTGGGAATAGAGATAACAGCATCTCTGTCACAAGAGCTAAAGAGCAGAATGTTTCTGGAGTAAAAATACATTGCAACAAGTTTGTGAAGTAACAGCGCTTCTTGAATGTGGAGCTCTGTGAGTCTTTGTGTAGTAGAAAGTACTTTGTTTAAAAGTTCAAACCCAGGACTAGAAGGAAACTTAAAGCTTTTTTTTTTGTTCTGCCTTCCCCACCCAATCTATTCCCTTGCTAGGTAGCCCAAAGAAAAAGTTTAGCTTTCCCTTTAAATCTTTCTGCTTTTCCTGTTTGTGTTGGCTCCTGGGTGGGAGAGCTGCAAAGGCTGAAAACTTTCTGGAATGTTAAAAAAATGTTCCATGCAAATTCAGTGAATGATCTAAATGTTTTAATATTTGAACACTAAGGGGCGCCCGTTCTTCCTTTTGGGGAAAAAAGAGAGCCTTAAAATCTAGTTATTTTATAAACCTTTATGCCAAAATTAGCTAACCTGCTGAGGACTTAAGAATTGTGTGAGCTGTGGAAGTTAAAACACAGACTTGCCTGTATGCTTTGGTTTTAACTTTTTTCATCAGTTATACATGTCCACACCCTCTTCTCTAAAACATGGTGGCTAGGTTGTGCAACTTCTTTTAGAAGTCCACGCAGTGTCATGAAATTATTATAAATACTAGTCTTCAGAAACTTGCTAGAGAAGAGAGTTATATATTTTTTTCCTTGGGGATTTCTGAAAATTTGTATATTAATGGACATTTTAATAGAAACTTTAAAAACATTCTCATTGTTCAATATTTTTGTTCAGCAGAAAAAAAAGAACGAAAGTTAATGATTCTAGCAAAGTATAGCACTGGTGTAGTTATTTTTTAGTCTAACCATTACAAGGTTTTTACTATAGTTCAAGCTTGGGAAAAAGCATACGAAGCAAAAGCTGACCAACCTAGGCTTAGCCTTAGAGCATTTGAATGAAATGATTAAAAACTATATCCTTTCATTGCTAAAGGCTCAGGATATGTTACATAATATGGAATAACTCCTACTTTTTAATATTATGAGGTAAAGGGAGGATATTTGAAATCATTTGCAGGTAGCAGGTTCCTATTATCTTAAGCGTTAATAGTTTTTACTTAGTAGTAAACACTGTATTTAGTAGAAAGGATCTCTAGAGAGATGAATAAATGTTAGGTTTCTGTTGGTTAACGGCAGCCTGTAGAGAAGGGGAGGCGGGCTTTCCTAAATTAGATGCTTTGTTTCCTGCAATTGTTTTCCAGGACCAGGGATTTTTCTACATAAGCATTTTCAAAAGCTGAAGTTGTCCCCCCCCCTAAATGGAAACATCGGATTAATTTTACATCATGTTCTTCTCCGCCCTTCCCCGCCCCCCGAATCTGAACCAGATACTTAAACCTTTGGTAAGTGATCCAGGTATTATCTACCAACTAGCAGTAGGTTAAAAGAATCAGATGCTTTGCACATGAGATTCTCAGATATCCTTGAAATCTGGAATTTTAAATGTACTCACATTGGGACCCCAGTGAATATTAAGCCTTTATTATAATTTCAACACTGAATTTAGTAAGAAACTAAAATGAGTGCAAAAATGCTGCAGTCAGACATGAAAGTTGCTTTTAAACTTTATGGCTAGTGCTACTTCTATATGGAGTACATACCAGCAGAAAAAGAAAACCAGCGTTGTGTGTGTGTATTCTGAATCTCAAAATGAAATGTTCTGTGAAGTCTGTTAACTAAGTTCTGCTACCAGAGCATTACCTTCAGGAAAGTATTTAAAAACTGTACTTGTTAAAGTTATGCTGTTATGCTTTAGTAACCTAATTGAAGATAAATGATTTTGCAGTACTTAGAATATCACTCACAGTGTAATCATAGGATGTTAATATTAGCTAAAAGGCCACTTAACACGGTCGGCTTCTAAAATATATTTATGAAACTTGTTCTGAAGTCTTCATGCATCCAGTCCTTAGTTGGCTGTGGGAACTCACTTTATTTCAGTTTGTATAAGGAACCTTTCCTGATGTTATAGATGGAAGCTTTTCAAAAGTTGAAGATTAAATAAAGACCATGGCCACACATCCCAGAAAATCTACAGCAACTAATGAACTCCGGCCGTGAAAGCCTTCGACAACATATTAAATTATAACTTTGATGAAACTCACAGTTTCATTATAAATAAGAGCCTTGAAAGTAGCTCTGCCATCTCTAGCCAAACAGTAACATGTTGTCATAGTAAAATATAATTTTCCCTGTTGCTTTCATACTTCAGTGGGAAAACATTTAGGTTTTGGGGTGCAGTAGCAATATGTACAATTTCTGGGCATGGCAAGGGGTTAAGCATCTTTTCAGAATATCCTGCTCTCCTTCCGTCTTTAATGAATCTATTCCACAGCAACTTCTCTGTATCAAAAGACCCTTGGTATATGTTTTAATTTTTCAGCAGAGATGAGCAATCAGAAGCCTAGTACCTTGGCTGTTGCAGTTTTCCCTCCAAAACAGCACACGCATGATCAGTTCTGATGTCATATTTTATAGGCATTATGTTTTTCCTCATATCTGCGCACTGTTGAACCTAAACCTGTATCTCAGCAAGAAACTGATAATAATAAGAGATGAGCAATCAGAAGCCTAGTACCTTGGCTGTTGCAGTTTTCCCTCCAAAACAGCACACGCATGATCAGTTCTGATGTCATATTTTATAGGCATTATGTTTTTCCTCATATCTGCGCACTGTTGAACCTAAACCTGTATCTCAGCAAGAAACTGATAATAAGGATCTCCATCAGAATTCCATATCTAACTGGCTTTGGTCTCTATTCTCTCTCATAAATACTCTAGCAACTAAGATTCATTTCTGGAAGTAGAAAGTGAGATTTTAGGCCTTGTGGTGTTTGCATACCATGCATACTGAGTTCAGGTATTTAACAATTATAAGGATCTTAATAAAGGCCACATTGTGGTCACAGTTCAAACAAAACTACTTTTGCCCTTGAGAAGGATCTGAAGTGCTCAACATTTCCTACATGGTATTAAAGTCAAAGCAAATCCTATTTGGCAAGGAAATGTTTCCCCCCCAGTTGACTAAATTCACATACAACTCACTTTGTAATTATAATGCTATAATGTGATTGGAAAAATGTACCTTTTGGTTTGTGATATACTGGTGTATCAGTTAGCATGGTTCATTCTAGCATACCAGGCTTTGGGATTGAATGCTTTTTTATGTTTTAGTTCAGGGTAAGAAATTGATAAGTGCTTGAGTTTCCAAATATGTTTCACACTGTTATAGTTGAGCAGTAAAAAACATTCTGCATGATATTGGACTATGAGCTATTGTTTGTATGACGAAGCCTTGCTGCTGTAGTTTATTACAGTTCTTTTAATAAGT